CCAGAATTCCCCAGCCAGAATTCTGGGAGTTGAAGTCCACTCATCTTAAAGTTGCCAAGGTTGAGAAACACTGCTCTATTCTATATGTACAGAATATTTGGGAGTAGTTCAGGCAGGAATTTACTACATTTGGAAAAGCCAGAGGTAGAGAAACTTCCCCTCCCCCACCAACCAATGTTGCTAACTACACCTTTCAGCTTCCTAGCTAAGCTTCACCAATGGTGAAAGATGTTGATAGCGGTCATGGTATAACATTTGGAGGGAGGCAAATTCCCTGCTCTTGTTTTAGGGAATCTTCGGAGCTGAGTGTTGAAGACTTCATACCAGCTGAGAAATCTGGTGTTCAATTGTAAAAATGGGTGTGGGAAAAAAAAGCTAGCTTTCTTTGAACCTCCTGAGATAAATGGGTTCTTCCAATAGAGATCTGTGGCTCTTTTTTAACCTCCCCTTGTTGCTTTAGGGAACAACCATTGTTAAACTAGGCTAAACGAAAGAGCGGACTTTGCTCCGAAACAAATGCATATGGAAATAACGTAATCACCAGCAAGTTGCACAATCAAATAGTACCTCACTGTGTGTCTCCTAAATAACTAAGTCCTAAGCTGATTTTATTGATTGATTTGTGGAATTGATACTGGCAGCGTATTGATTATATTAGTAATATAATTTATACGATCCCCAAATCAGAAACTGAAGGCAGCCTCAAGGAAATGTTCCCCGTGCCTCATTTTTTTATATATATAATAATAAATGTTCCCAATGCTTTTTGCTTGGCTATAAATGTTAAGAAGTTTCATCTTTTTGCAAGGAGAGTGACGCTGGAGCATTAACAGATACCTTATCCAGGTAAGAGAAAATCCATCCATTTCATTATCCATCCTGTTTTTCTGCTGGCGGATGGTACACTCATATCTCCTCCTTTTCCCAGTGAACTAACTTCATCCCAAGAAACCTCTTCATCTGCTACAGAGGATACTAAAGAAGCACAAGGCAAGTGGAAGTAGACAGGAGTTGTAAGTAAGGAAGAACATTTCAAATTATTGTGGGCTTCTGCAGCAAGCCACAGTGACACGAGAATGATAACCCATGATCGGTGACATCATCAAAAAGAAACATTGGCTGTGATTGTTCAGTAGAAAACCTCTCTGATTACAGTGGGAATCCAGATCCAGCTTTTTCTAGGATCTCTTCCTTAACTAGCATTTCCCTTCCTTCACAACCAAACAGCTCTATAATTTGGGTGGCAAATGGAGGGAGACTCAGAAATATGGTTAAAAACCATTAAGCTATGTCTGCCTAACAGAGGGCTGGTGTTTCCTCTATTGAAATGCATGAAAGTCTTGAAACACCCAAGGGATCTGAGTTGGATATCATATTATCCTTTTTTTCCCTTGTCTTCTCCCTTTATAGATACGGACTCTACACTACAGGAACTGGAGGGGAAAACGCACCTCTCTACTTTAGTGTTGCAGGAAGCCACTGTTGCTGCAAAGGAGGAAGCTACAGAAGATGGTTCCAGCAACAGGGCTGGTATTGTCGTGACTCTTTTTCAAATTCATGAATCTCTTTGCAAGCAGTAAGCTAGTGAAGCCACAGGTATAAAGTCATGGGTTTTCTTGTTTTTTGGTCCAAACCGTCCAGTACAGCTTGTATCCAGTTAATAATTTCAGCAGGGAATCGTATAACAGGTATGGCCCAGATATTGATGGCTTTGACGGTGGATATATTCTTTACTAATCCCATTTTTAACTTGTCCATGCTTGATGTTATCCAACTGTAAAATGCCCAGATGTTTATAGGCTTCCTCCTGATAAGTTGGCCATTTGGGATTTCAATTCCATTGCTATTTTACCCCAATTTATTGCTACTGTAGCACATTTCTCTAGGCCAAATTCCATTGCTGCATCTGTGCTAAAAATTCTTACAGTATTTGTCAATGACTGGATTTCAGTTTCTGATTCTCCATAAAGCTTCAGATCATCCATATAAAGCAAATATGAGATTTTATTAACATCTTTTGCTGTTTGGTAGCCAAAATTATCATCATCATCATCATCATCATCATCATCATCATCATCATTCCTTCTTTCAATTTTAGTACTGTAATTATATTTAAAATTTTTGTAATGCTTAACTTTCCCATGCTTTCTGATACAGACTGTTGCTTATCTCTCGTATAAACCATAAAAGCCTGCCATTTCCTCATCAAATAATGATTTGCTATTTTCCATTGTCAAGCATTGGATTTCATCAGAAACGCCTCGAGAAATTTTAGACCAAATCTTATCTCTCAGCTGAGTTACTTATTGCTCAACAATGGAAATGCCTCCTGAAACGTTAAGTGTGGCCCCTCTGCTATGAACAGCTGATCCTCCCCTGTTTTAAGTGAATCCTTTTTTGGTCCCACCTCAAATGTGGAAATGCTGGATTGACCACATCTGACATTTTAGGCAGGAGTTCTGTTGTTTTCGTAGTTCAACAATAAATTGAATTTGCATAGGCATGGGAAAACTTTATGCTGGCCAGCTGGCCCTAGCTAGTCCATTTCAAATATATTGGACTTCAATTCCCAGAATCCTTAGCCAGATACAGGGGTATCTGGAGGGTACCACATTAGGGAAGGATCTCTTAAACCATAAACAGCCAACCAGTTCTGCTTCTAAGCTTCCCTTGGGGGAGAAGATGACCTTCCTCACTTACCTGCATTGTTTAAGGTCTCTGCTGTCTGCTCACTTTTTGCAGGTGATTCATCTTCATGTCAGGATCTGTCAAGCAGTGTCGTGTGCCAAAGGAACCAGGATAAGTAAGTCTTAGGTTCAGAAGTATCCTCAGGATATGGACAAAAATGTCAAGATGGCGTCCACAATGGCGCGATCGATGCTCAGCCTGTTTTTTATGTGTTGGAGCATTGTTTGCACTGTTCTAGGTGCCACCTTGGCCTTTTTGTCCACACCCTGTGGATACCCCTGGTCAGGTTCTATGAATGAAGAGAATATTAAGCTTGCCCCATCTTCCCACCCCACTTGTAGCCCAAGCTTCTCTTTTGTCTGGAATATTTGTGGGAAATATCTCCTAAAGTAGGCAAAGTCATGAGAAAACTCCACCCCAGCCCTCCAATTTCTTTAGCCTGAAAACTCTTCAGCACGTTACCTTTCCTAACACAATCAAGATCTCATGGTGCCCTGTTTTATTAATGTTAGATAAGTGCAACCTACTGTGACTCTAGACTACAGGAGACCTGTGGCACCTGAGATGAGGCTTCAGGGGTTTAGCATCCCAACAGATCCCTCCTCTGTTGGGATGCTAAACCCCTGAAGGGGTTGATTTGGTTTCGATAAGGGCTGTGTAGTACTTGGGATCCAGTCACCCCAAAGTGATTCGGAATGGGGAAGAGTAGAAAAGTAGGCCCTCTCTGGACCACGGTAGCTGTTTTAAGTGGGACAGACAGACCGGTGTCTCCTGGGCATTCAGAAGCACCTTTTGGAAATTGACTCTGAAGCGCTGCATCCTGTTTATTTCCAGTACCAACACTGCTTCCAATTTGCCTCTTAATCTTCCTTAAAGCCATTTTTTTTTTTCTGAAGAACCTTCTGACCTTGTCCCTGTGGCTTTTCCTGGAGTATCTGACCAAGTTCCATCTTCTGTGCTTTAGTTAATGTGCCATTCTGAGTCAGCTCAACGGAAATAGCAGTCTGTCCCCTCCCTGACAGTATAAGGACTGATCTGGAAATATTCCCTTAAAGTAGACCTTGCTCCATCTTTTTGGCTTCCCAACATGACCTCTTTGAGCTGTGGTGGTGCTGGGACTCCAGAATGACTGTTAGGTTAAGAACTTTGAGAACTGCAATTCCTGTTTACCTGGATAGTAGGCCTTAGCAAAGGATATTTCAGGTCTGTGTAGATGAGAGACCTACTAATATTCTTTATTTTGTGGGGGGTTCTTCTCATTTCAGTGGCTCTCCCAATGACAAAGAAGTAGAGGTAAGCATAGGTGTATTTCTTGTTTTTTCTGTCTCCTTTTGGTATGTCTTCACACTTCTTAAATGTGTTTTTCCAGGTCAGGACAAAAACATGCCGAAGTGTGATCAGCGCAGGGTTTCTCAACCATGGCAATTTTAAGACATGTGGACTTCAGCTGGGAGTCTTAAAGTTGCCAAGGTTGAGAAACCCCGCATTAATAAATGGTGTGTGTGTTCCCTGGAGGGGAAGCTCATCTTCCAAAGGCTGAGACAAATTTCTTCTCTTCTTGGGAAAGCGGAAACCTCACCCTCTTAAAACTGAAAAACAGAATTAAAAGCCTGTGTAGCATTCAAAGCAAATGTTGTCGCTATGCAAATAGAACTCTTCTCCCGGGCGTGTATGCATGCTCCTTTTCCTACAACCTGCCACAGAAGGATTTTCAGTGACTCCATTATCAAGCCAGTGATGGACTGAAATCTAGATTTTGGGCCTCTGGAGCAGGAAAGGAAAAGGTTTTCACAAATAGATTTTCTTCTATTTTCAGGAATGGAAAGGTGAATGATAGCTTTCCTACTTGAAAATAGAGCAAATTTAATGGATGAACTAATTCTGAAGTCTCTTTTCTCCCAAATGGGGGAACTGCTAGCTCCTAGCTTTCTGAGTAGACTGGTGGAGTTACGACAGGGCTTCAGTTCCATTTTGATCACCCCCCTGTTTCTGGAATGAGACCCCTTTATTTTCTAGATTGGTTGAGATTCTTGCTGTAGCTCTCTGTCACTTGTGTGTAATTGTAAGTGAATCGTTTTAGAATCCTGTCATGTTCCCTAGATTCTTTTGTTCCTGATTTAAAAGGTTTTGGATGCTAAACTAAGATGGCCTGTCCCTTTTAGGTAGGTAGGTAGGTAGGTAGGTAGGTAGGTAGGTAAATAGATAGATAGATAGATAGATAGATAGATAGATAGATAGATAGATAGATAGATAGATAGATAGATAGATAGCAATTTGGGGGGAGAAGGACAATAGGGTTTTGTCCCTGAACTCATGAAGAGTGCAGTGTGTGCTTTTTTTTTTTTTTTTTTAAGTATCTGCTGGTATCTTCTAAGACAAGGTAGCAGGTTAGGACCCGGTTAACTGGAGACAGAATATTAATTTGAGCTTCCTTATTCCTTCTGCCTCTGAATCCCATGTCAGTATGATACTTTCTCCATTTGAGGTAGGTTGGGGCCATTGGAATTCATAATCTAAGAAATAGGAATCTGTTAGGAAACCCTCAATGTTTAATTAACTCATAGGATTAGAGTTTAACTGACTGTAAATAAGTAAAACAAATACATTTACTTTGGGCAGTAGTGCCACCTATTGCTGATCAAATTAGCCGTGTGCAAAATGTTTTCAGCTGAACTCTTTCTGAATTCGAAACGCTGCATTTTGAGCATGAAGCGCCTTTTTGGACTGCAACACACCTCCTGGAAGTGTGAAACAAGCCTCCCCAGCAGTTGGATGTGTGTTGTGTTCCAAACAACTCGGTTTTAAGGGCAAAACAGCATTCAGAGGTTGAAATGCTTGGCGCGTGCTTGAAACAGCCCATTTCACACTCCAAATGGTGGGTTTACATTATAGGTGGATCATTTCAGAATTGAACTGGTTTGATTTGAAACATTGGGCATCTCCTGCACTGCCATCCAGCCCAAGACCATACAGCGTTCAACTTGAGAATCCTTCCCGCTGGAAGCAATAACAGATTTTGGGGGCGGGGGGTTTAGAGGTTAGCCAACTGGTAATCTGCCTAGTGGGGATATTTGCTTCTCTTTTGTTCTCCAGGCAGAATTCCTTCGGCTGTCTCTTGGATTCAAATGTGACCTCTTTACTTTAGAGAAGAGAGTTAGGCTTGAAGAACGATCTCGGGATCTTGCGGAAGGGAACCTGAGGAAAGAAATTGCTGGTGCCTTGAAACTACTTGATGTAAGGAGGAGGAAGATGGGTTCTGTTACATGCATCCGTTGCTTCAGAGGGAGTTCTGGGAATTGAAGTCCACACGTCTTAAAGTTGCTAAGGTTGAGAAACACTGGTCTATGGAATCTTCAAACTGGTCCTAGGTGTAGGAGCATGGATGTGATGAAGATGAAATTCTTAGTACGCAGGAAACTGTAGAATGCTAAGCTGTGTTACCCCATCCATTCTTATAGCATCCCAATGCATTCTGAGCCCCAGACCATTTCCTTCCAGCTTGTCCTCACCCCTTGCAGATCTTAACCATACCCTGGCAAGCCAAGCTCCTCAGCTCCTTGCTCAGCAGGTGGTGGGAGAGTAAAGGACAGCAGCAGGCGTGTTGTATCTAAGTCTGAAGCAGAGGGACCAAAAGGAAGCTGATTCTCCCAAGGAGGCCAGGACACTGGGAGCGAGTGGGGGGGTAATGGTGAAAGTCTTGGACTAAGAGCAGGGAAACTCAGGGTTTACCCCCCTCAACCCTAGACGCTCCCTGGGGACATTTGGCTGGTCCTTCTCTCTCAGCCCAAGAACTGGTGTGCTGTAGTTGTGAAAGTGTGGGACTGGTGCTGGGGAGATCCAGGTCCTACTCTACCTTCAGCCACATAAACTCCTTAGGGGACTCTGGGTCAGTCCCTTTCACTCAGCCCAACCTCCCTTACAGAGTGATGATAAAATGAAAGAAGATCTCCACCTTGACCTCCTGAGAAGAAATGGGCTATAAATTTATTAAATAATAACAATGTGTTTTGCTTTGCAGACACAGCTATGCATATCTCTAGCAACAGACAAAGAGATTTCCTTGTATATGGGTGGGCTTATTGATATGAATGGCAATTATACTTCTGTTGAAAGCCAAGGTTTCAAAAGTCATTTCTAGAGCTAAATGTTGAGGGAGGGAAGGAGAGAGAGAGCGCGCACTTGGCAGAGGGTTGCCCCATTTACTATCTTCATTTGTGTAAACTACAATGCTTGTCTTCTTTTTGCATCCATATATTGGATGTTCCTTGTTCAGTCTTTAGCCTCTCTAAGTGAAGATAACCAGGTGCAGGAGATAGTGAGGAAGCTGCAGAAGAGTTTGGATCTGCTGAATCAGCATGCTATCAGAATTGCTAGCAAAGCAGAAATGCTGGGAGCTGTTCATCAGGTAAGTTGCCTGATCCAGAAATCGTAAAGATTAAGAAGGTGACGTCTCCTCCAAGTTGAGTTTGACTCCTGGTGTAGACTGGAAGTGATTTACCATTGTCTTCCTTCTATATGTGTGTGGGGATGGAGTTAACACCCAGACCAATCTACACCCCTGGGATTTCCTTGTGTCCCTCACAAAGATAGTTCAGGCCTCACTTAGCTGTTCAACATCAGGCAGAGTTGGTTAGGTGTTTCCACCTGCCTGAGCTTTGTAGGTGTTGGGTTCTTTCAAATAATCATGCAGAAAACAATTTATACAGAACAGGATATTCCTTACACTTGATTGAGTTTATTTATTTTATTTATTTTATTTATTTACTTAACTTGTCCCTGCCCATCTCCCCACAATGGGGGACTCTGGGCGGCTAGGATGTTGCCATGTCCTTGGAAGTCTGAACTGCTAAGATCAAGGGTAAAGTTGTTTGAAAGTACAGTGGTACCTCGGTTCACGAATTTGATTTGTTCCGCGACTCTGGTCACGACCCGAATTGGTTGCGACCCGAATCAAATTTTCCCATAAGGTTCAATCTAAATACGGTTAATCCGTTCTGAACCATATGTATTTTTTTTAAAAAACCACAAAAATGTGAAACAAAATACAGT